GGCAGTCTGAGTGGCTACGACCAAAGGGCATGCAATCTGAGGTAAACCTGAGGTACCAGGAGCGCTGCAATTAAGTTTTAGTAAATCAGTCACTGCTACAACAGTCAACGCTAAGTCGCTATAGCAAAGAAGATGGAGTCAACCGAGGCAGAGGCATTACAACTGGAAATAATGGGACTTTTGTGTACACTGCCTGTAGACAGCCTAATAGGACTATGTGATTTTCTCACCATTGCTGGATTAAAATTTGAGCATGTGACAGGAAAGAACAGAGCATCACTCATCTTAATGATTAGTAATCATCTGCAGAGTGAAGAACTACAGAACTTGGAGGACATGGGGATGGCACAGCTTCTCTGTTTTAAAGACAAGATAACTGAACTTCAAAATGAGACTACAGCTGGCCAAGTAAAGGAACTTCAAGCAACACAAAATGAAGAACAAAATAAACCTGATGAAACAGAGGACAGTACATCAACAGACAACAGACCTCAGTCATGTTTACCACTCCAAATAAAAAGTACTGATGAGAATGAGCATAAATTTCAGGCCACCATACCCACCTTAAGAATGACAACTTCAGGTTCAGCTCCAGGTCCGACCCCTCCACTTTGGCACAAAGAATTCAAAATAGCTGGACAAATTGGAGAACCAGGACAGAAAGATCGTCTCACATTTTCCAGCCTAGCACGACAAATTGAGCATGGCCTTCTCAAGGGTTTTCCAGAGACTGAGATTGTTGATGCTGTTATAAGGGCCATTGTTCCGGGGATGCAGTTAAGAAGCTATTTAGAGGGGAAAAGTGACCTCGCACTGCCCACCCTGAGGAGAATACTGCGCTGCCATTATCAGGAGAAGAGCGCAACAGAACTATATAAACAGCTGTCGTCAGAAGCACAGGGCATTAAAGAGACTCCTCAGAACTTTCTTATCCGCACTCTTGATCTGAGACAGAAGATTCTGTTTGCCTCACAAGAGTCAGAGTCAGGCTTAAGGTATGATCCAGTACTTGTGCAAAACATGTTTCTCCATACAGTTATGACAGGCTTACAGAATGATAATATAAAACGTGATCTCCAGCCATTCCTGGAGCAAGCTGGTGTTTCTGATGAACTTCTGTTTGAGAAACTAAATATTGCATGTGCCTATGAAAGTGAGAGGCAGGAAAAAAAGAAAATGAACACACCACAGCGGTCTGTTACTGTTCACTCTGCTCAGTCTGACCATGCCACTGTTGAAAAGAAGGAGAAGATAAACCAGCT